CACGACCACAGGCTTGAACTTGAACTCGGCTTATGTGCAAGGACAACGATGCGCCATTCTGCAATCTGGTTGTTTTGATCGGTGCACATACACCTAAAACGCTTCCAGATGAATCCAGAAGACGCCCTCTTCCAACTCCGAATGCCGTATGTGCTCGCAACTTCACTGTTTCAACCTGTTCATCCACGTCGGCTCTGACAGAAGCTGTTTTGCCACTGAGCAACCCGACTTCCACTGTAATCGACATGATGCATAGACTCGGATTTATGGTTGCTGAACCTAAGCCCTAAACCCCAACTGCACCATACTACGATTCCGTTTCGCAAGTGACTCAGCCCTGGGATCAAGCTCCACCATGTAGCTTCTGATCTGTATGCGCCAGCAGTATGCTTGTTTCTCCCAGGACCGTTTGCTTTGTTATGAGAGTTCAGTAGGGGTCTGAACTCTCATCCTTCTTGCTTCTGTCAGACCGATCAGAAGCAGCTCCTTCGGCATCGGCTTCTGCTTCAGCCTTCTTCATGAGGGCATATCTCTGGGTCTGCTTCCAGTGTGTAGCAAATGCTGAACGTTTCCTGCGTCTGAAACTCGAAGCCCCATCATCGAGAGTGCATACTTGAGGGTTTTGCATTGGCTCCATGTAGCTTCGGATCTGTCTACTGTCGCTCCCAAGACCGTTTGCTTGTTCTTGGTGTGCAGGTAGGGGTCTGAACTCTCACAGACGCAACTCCTTCGGCATCGGTTTCCACTTCAGCCTTCTTCATGAGAGCATATCCCTTTGTGTGCTTCCAACAAGCAACAAACGCCGTGCGTTTATCAGACCAAGCCTGGTCACGGATAGCGCATGGCAGGCAAGAGCCAGGGTTCTGGTTCAGGCCATTACTGCTAGCTTCTGTCAGACTTGGCATCGCAACAGGGCTGCAGCTCACAGTGATGGGCACTTGATTTGAATCTTGAGCCACATGTCTGATAGTCTGACTCAGAACATTGCCTGCGGCAACATGAACACTTTACCCACCTTAGTGACGGGCGCAGATGCAACAGGCCATGCGAGCCTTTTCGTTCACCTCGTCACAAGCATCTGCGGGCTGAGAACTATAAATCAACAAATGCATGGGTTTCTGATCTGAGGGGGCCGGGATCATAGTTAGCTGTAGCCTCTGTTTGAAAGTGGTTGCTGGCAGTATTGTTGAGTTGACTTGTCCACGGCATTTCCGTTTTCTCGATTACAAACAACACTTCGACGAACTTCTCTGCGCAAGCACTCCTTCGGTTCGGAGGCGGGGTCCAGTCAGACCGAGACCAGTCCAGTCAGACCGTCGGACCAGTCAGTCAGTCACTCAGTCAGTCAGGCCACCGTCCGGTCCGAGCCAGAGCAGCTTCATAGCACACAGGACACCGGCGCCTGCGATGAGGGGAGCGGAAAGGTTCACATGGCCTGCTGCATCTGTTTCCTGTGCGCCTGAGCATAACGAACAATACATCTGGCAACGAACCAAACCCACACAGTACCGCATCAGGCCATGTTGTTCTGCCGTCGTGAGAGGCCACGTTGAAACAGGAGGAACAAATGGAGGAATGTGACAGTAGCCAGGATAGCGACCTCTGCAGGCAGCTTCTGTCTCACGCCAACTTTCATCTTGTGGGCGAAGTAGCCATGGGCACTTTCCGATTTTTTCTTCTGCGATGTCCACCTGGGGAAATCCAGTCAAAAACCGCTTCGGATTGAATCACAGGTGATGGCATAGTATTTTGCCAGGTTGAACCTGACGGCACATCAGACCGATCAGGCTGATCAGGCTGATCGAGAAGCTCTGCTGAATTCCGGCTAACCCAGGTCCGTGCGCCGACGTCATCCCCCGCTCACGCAGACAGTGCATAACATACGAAAATTCTCGACCATTCTGCTCCTCCCGAGCTGCTTGCGAGACATGGCTCTGGTTGGCCCGTTTGGGAAATCGCCAGCAGACCCTCGGCATGTCGATTTGCTGCCGATCTTCAGGCGGGTCAGTCGGGCGACCGTTGCGTTCAGTGCTACCCAAGGCTCTCCTCAGGCCAGGTCAGGCCAAGAATGGCAGGCCAGGTCAGGCCAGGAATGGGATTCTACACATGTTTCTGTCTGTGTGGCCAATGGCTGTGGGAATGAGAAGCAGTTGTCTGACTCTTCAGGATCGACGCTGTTAGCTTTACACGCAGGTTTCCAGCAAGTAAAACTAAAAACACAATCATAAACACCAGAACTACGAGGGACTGGCACTTTGACAATCTGCATTTCCGAGAAGAGGAAGACAACGCACTTCATTGCCTCCAGTCTTTCTCGGTGGACAATTATGGTGTCACTGAGGTCAGGCTTACGTGTCTTTCGGAAAAGCTAGTATTGTCTTGCAAGAAACACACGCATAGGCTCAGCATGATGGAGATCTCATTGCATGTTTTTTTTCAAGCATGCCCCCGTCCTGCTTTCCAGTTGTCTGACGACACTTTGTCATCGGAGTTTGTGAATCATGAAGCACGAAGATTACCCTGCACAAGCCTTGAATCATTTGCTATACGATGCTGCATCTGCGTCATGTCGGTTGTTACAATACAAGGCTTACAGTTCAAACGTGATAGAACGAAGCGGTGTCCCTATCCATCAGGCCATCTAGCCCAGGCTGCAGAGTACGAAGACTCACAAAGTGTCACAATCTTCAATCGGCTACGGGCTGCGGCAAGCCGTCGCGCGTGAGTAGGGAGACGAGTGTCGCATCAACGGCGAGCTGAACTCCGTGCTTGAGGGGCAGGCCATTGCACATGGTGGTATGCGTGAGATGGGCAGGCTGGCCGAGTGATGGCTCGCAGGTGCCGCATTAGTGCAGTGACCAGGCGGCCTAGGGTACCCCTGCAGAGACCAACTATGTGCAAAGAGTAGAAGGCACTCGAGCAGACGCAGACGCAGGCCTGCCACAACCGAATGCGATGGGCCTGGCTCAAGTGGTGCGATCGATTCAGGGCTCTGCGAAAACACTGGCATCGCGACTTACAAGCCTTGAGGCGGTGCGTCATGTTTTTGTCCAGTCTACGGTGGTATGAAACAATCGATCCCAAATACTCAATGCCACATTCCCTGCCAGGTACGGTGACACGCAGGCGCAGCGCCTGCCTTACGGAAGGTGACACCATGTTTGATGGCCGCCGCATCCTTGCCAATCCAATGAGGGAGAACTGCCGTTTTTTAGTAGTTTAAGTGCATCTTAAGGGTTTCAAGTGTTTCAAGAATGAGCTCCGAATCCAGTTTTGCCCTATCAAGGCCACCTTTGCTTCTAATGACCTATGACCCCCAACAGTCAGCAGCAAACAGGGTCAGAACTTGCTGGATCCAATCTTGGTCACGCCTACCCCTCAACATGAGCGTAAAGGCTACTGTAAAGTACGACCAGGTATGGGGCTATTTTGCGCCCTGCTTAGTGCCAGTTGTCGCGCATGTGTAGCCGGCTTGCTCACCCACCGCAAAATGCTACTTGGCCTCCAAAAACAAACTGCGGGAGATTAACAAGGATTGGCAATGTTTTGCTGGTTGGACACTGCAGGCCTATCGGCCTCATGCTGGCAACCAAAGTAGGAGCCTTGGATGGCTTTGGGAAGCCAAACCACTTGAGTATCCTTCCAGTCACATTGAAGGTCACCCTTGCTGCCATTTTGGAAGTGTCTACGAAAGCCTGCTCTACGGACTATGCTGTACAGGCCAGGGCGCGTTTGTCCCCCCCGGTGGCTGCCACTTCCGCGGTGTCAAGCATCCATGGAGAAACTCTTGTTTGAGTCGCTTGCTTTGTTGACGAAGTTGGGCGGATGCTCGAGCAAATTGCGCCAGCAATCTCCACTTGTTCCAGATGCCTCGAAAAGTGCATACTGCCACTTTCTCTGCTTGCTTATACAGCTGCCAGGTGTGGCTCGTGGAAGCCCGAAACCTGGAGTCGGCACTGATGCGACAATCCGACGGCACCTGAGCGGGGAACGCAGCCGCAGCCGCCTGCATCAGGATGCTGTTTAGTTGCTTTTGGGTCTGCACAGACAGACTACGTGCAACCCGTGCTTGCATAATTTGCGCCTCCACACTGCGACTCCGGACCGCATTTTGCAGGGCAATAGTTTCGATCTTAGGTAAAGCTGCCTTCGCTTGCTGGCTGCGAAAAGGCGACTCAGTCTGCATTATGGCAAAGACCGGGTAGTGACCTGACAATCTACTAGAGCCCACTGGAAAGGCCGCAAGTGGTCGGGCTGCCTTGGCGGTTGCACCTGCCATCCGCTGCCGGGCGGCGATGAAGTCAATCTGAGTGTCACCTGTTGGGGCCATGGTAGGTGGCCGGCTTCGGGTGGTGCCAAGTGTTCAGCACAGTCAAGGCATGCTTTCCAAGAAGCTTAAGAATATCAGGATCGCCCGTGACGCTATTGGTCAGGACTGAATTACCAACAACCTGGGATTGTGGTTGTAGGCTAGAGTTGACGTCCCCACAGAGAACTACCTCGCTTCGCTGCGGCCGTCAGTGAAGAATCCAGCATAGCCCAGGTGGCCTGTCGCAGGGAGTTATGAAGCGGTGGTTAGCTGGTTTCCCCGCACGTGCTGGTAGATACCGTAGAAGGTTACGGGAAGCTGAATGCTATGTAGCACCGTTCTTTATTGAACAATCTATCCGGGATAAATTTCCAAGATGCTTAGGTCCTGAAATTTGGCCCTGCTGAGCAGCACCAGCACTCCACTGCACGTGGCATGCGAAGCCGGGCCCGAGCTACCCGCCGAGTGCACGGCTAGCCACTTACCCGACACAAAGTCACCCGTCGGGCCCTCGCGGGTCTCCTGTATGACCACTACATCCAATGCCACCTGCTGGCCTGCGCAAAAGGATTTGACTCCCGCCGCTGTGGGCACTGTCTACGACACTCTCGGAATCCTTCGTGTCTGTGTACAGTGCCATTGCCCTCTACACCATGTGCCTTGCAGTGGGAAACGCAGCCGCTCGGGCCCTTGCACGATTGCACGCTGGATTCCTTGGAAGCTTAATGCAGCTGGCGTGCATTGTTGCGCCTGACCGCAACGCTTCCCCACCTGTGCTGCTGCACCTGTGAGTCCACCCCCTGCCGCGGCAACAGTGGGAACCCTCACCCCTTCTACCCTGTGGAAATGACAACCGAAAGAGAGACAAATGAGGTAGAATCCGGAATTGGGACCGGCTCGGCCACTTAATAGGGTACCGGTCTATGTTTTAGTTTGTATGCTGCAAAGTTGGGCCTGAAGCTTAGGGTTTAGGGTTTAGGGTTTGTACTCATAATCTTGGCACTCATGTAGGCACTGACCGCGAAGCCGGCAGCGGGCTGCTTCCTGCAGCTCGTGCCAACTGGCTGAGACCACACGCCCGTGCTGTGCTCCCACTTTGCCAGCAAGGGATCTGGTACTAATGGCAGGACTGGCATCTTGCTCCTGTCGCTGAAAGACAGACAAGTAGTGGGGGCCCATCCAGTACCAGCGAAGTTTCATTCCATCCTTAGCTAAAGGACGAGGCAGGTCCCGAGCTGGATGCCGCATCCTCTTGGTCTGAGTTACTTGCCCTACCTGCAATATGCACCATTCGTGCATCCTCGCTGCTGTCATCATCCTCATCACTTCGTCCAGATGGACCAGGGTGGTCCTCAAAGGCTCCGTTTGGAAGAAGCGGGCCAGCGACCCTTGCAATTTGACGCCAACCATTGTCATCCACCACCAGCTGCACCGGCTGCGGTCCAGGGCTGTGAACTCTCTGCCAGTCCCTTGGCTCTCCACGCCGATGCCATGCAAGTTCCAGAGGTTCGCAGGGGCGTATTGACTGGCACCGGTGTTGGTGGTCCCCTTGGAGCATCTGCCCCAGGAGGAGGGTTCTCATAACGAGCAGCATCATGTGGCGTGCGATCCGCCTCGACTTCGATGAGGTCGCTGAGAACAGGGGAGTCATCGCAGCCACCATCGCTCATCTACGGTTTCGCCGAAGAAGAAGAACAACCCCCGCAAAACAGCAAAGCAACCCCACACAAGATCCAGGGCACTCCGTCTCGGGCCGTGGGGTTTCATCATCACCACCATCACCATCATCACCATCACCATCACCATCATCATCATCATCATCATCATCATCGCGCGGGCGCATACACTTCTGCCGTGGCCGACTCGCGAACTCTAAGCAAAACCTGGAATGGCGGCAAAATAAGTGCTTCAGGCTGCCATGTTTGTCAGTCTCCACCCCCCTCCCACCCCGCACACGCCCCAGCAAGAACAGTCTTAAGGAGAGGAGTTGGTACGCTCGGGCGCCTCGTACTACCACTACTACTACTACTACTACTACTACTACTACTACTACTACGATTACTACGACTACTACGACGACTACGACTACTACTACTACTACGACGACGACGACTACTACGACTACTATCACCACAACTCTACTACTGCCACTACTCTACTACCACTACCACCTACTACGACTACCCCCACTACTCCTACTACTCCTACTACTACTACTACTACTACTACTACTACTACTACTACCCCTACTACTACTACTACTACTTCTTCTTCTTCTACTACTACTGCTGCTGCTGCTACTACTACTACTACTACTGCTGCTGCTGCTGCTGCTACTACTACTACTACTACGACGACGACGAACACCCCAACTAGCGCCAATACTACTACGACCACGACTGCTACTGTTGCTCAACTCGCAAAATGGCACTGCTTCTAGCATCCCTACAAACACGGCTGCAAGACGATGTCTGGCGTGATCCCGAAGTGGGTGAAGGGCAAGTCCTCTTGACGGTACATGATGCCCAGCCTCAGCGCAGGAAGCACTGCTGGGTTTGGGTATAGCTGGAAGATGTGTAGCCAGAAATCTTGCCACAGCTGAACCACGTGGGTTCTTCGAGCATCTGATTAAGCGCTGGAATGCTTCTGCGGAGCTGTCGCGAATGCGCTTCATGTCGGTTCCAACATGCAAATCCTACCTATTTGCAAGCATGATGCGTTCCTTTCTGACCGTGGCGGGATGCAAACTTGTCTCCAACCTGGAAGCGGAATCAAACGACCATGCCCTGATGCCGTCCGGTCAGGTTGCGTCCCGCGTTCCAGGCTGCGCCAGGCTGTGACTGCAAGCGCACACGGGGCCTCCGGAATCTTTAGTGTCCTGAGGCGAACTTTCGTGAACTTGTACCTCGGTAGATGTGCCCAATACGCAAGGGGCATCTCAAGTCAGAGGAACGCCACAAAGCTGAAGATGTCTATAGCGTTGCAGGCGGCTTACCCATCTTTGTTCAGGCTGACCATGACCTGGTCCACGATGCCACTCTCTGCCGTTCGGCATAGGACCGAGCTGTCCTTGAAGGCTCACAGCTCGGGGTGCCAAAGCAGTCGTGTCGAGTACAGGTCCTTTCTGTCGAACCTCTTGGGCCCCACATCATCCCCTTAGTGGCACAGCTTGATGTAGGCAAGCAGTCCATGGTTGGCCAGTCGACTACTTCTTGCAGACATTGCTAGGCTTGAGTCTGAACAGTTTCAAACGCTAGCAAAGGCACGGATCATGTCGGGAGGCAGGACGGATGTTCGACCAATTAGCACATCATCACCTTCAGCAAAGGCACTGACAGCAGGGCGCTGGTATGTGCTTATTCAGGAGGCCGTCTGGCCCAAAGATTGCAGTGGGGCGGAAAGGTGCTGCTGAATGGATACCTTCGACATCCGTCACACAAGGCCGTCTGCGACCCGCTTTTTCCAGATCTTCTCTGCCGAGTTTGAAGAAACGATCTTGCTCAAGAGGCTGCTGCGACGACCGCTTACGAAACGGGGCTCGGCAAGGCACTCGTGACTGGGCGTCTCACGCATCTGTTCTTGGTTTGGCTTCGACTCGGCCACTGGGATGATGGAGCACATGGTGAATTATTCAAGGTTGCACATGGCTGCAGCCGGGTCAAAGCAGCCATTAGCGTGAACTGCATTATTTTGTGCAGAAGTGCAGGATGTGCTGTCATACTCGTCAAGTGTATTGCTCGCGAAAGTCCGAAGGGCTACTCATGTGACTTTAGCCAAAGCACCGAGAATTCGGGTTGCCGGTTCGGCAAGACCATCGGCATCCAGCTTGCTGTAGTCACCTTCATTCAGGCATATTCGTTGCCACTCACATGGACCCCAACTAATCCGAACTCTCCAGATTGCAACTGCCCCAGCTGAGTCAGCAGCCGTTCTTGATCCCAAGGGTGCGAAGTTCCTGCGGGCGGCCAAACCTCGTAAGAGAAGCAGCTCTGCATTGTCTTGCTGCTAGCTCCCCGCTCCAACCCAGCCGAGCAGCTCGTCAACAGGTTTCTTCCCTTCCCATTTCTCCTGGTGACATCGCGCAGCGACAACGCTGATTTCGGAGCTCACGGTTCAGAAAGCTGAGACCTGTGGGAAGACCGTTGCAACCTCTCTAACCTTCTGGAACCCCCTGACCCACCCGCCACACTCCGGCTCGCCAACTGTTTTAGTCATGAACGCAGCGGCTGAAGAGGCCTGGGACCTGCCTAAACCACGAGCTTTCACCCCTGGCTGGATCTTCGAACTCAAAAAGGCAGTACAACATGAGATTGGCCACGCTGGATGCTCCTCTGCAGCGTAACACCGGTATGAGACTGCTCTCATGAAGCCACGGTCCACTGCAGATTGACCTCAAGACCGCAGGCGAAACTGCGGCTGTCGACTCGCAGGATCCAAGTCTCTTGCTCAGCATCAGGGAATCTTCCTGATTGTAGCCTGGCTGGAACTCAAGTGCCCTGTCTTAGCTTTGTGATAGAATCAGAAGAGATCTGGCCTGTGTAGCACATAATCATGACGATAGTGTTCACCTTATGAAGACAACTTTAAACTCGATGTGAATGTAGGAGGATGGACATGCAACGAGCTCAACGTCTCTAGGCTCGATGCACCCGCTGGCATCTCCCGGAAGCGCAGGTAGTTCATGGATCGCGTTCCCACCTGTGGCTGGTGCGTCGCAAGCAAGACCGCTCGGACGATCACAACTTGGGGCTGTGGCGAACGGCTTCATAGGGTAGCACATGACGCACGCAAACCTGCGTTGGCAAGGACTTTCAAGGCAGGACTTACTAGTACCAATCAATGTCCTGGATGTCCTGAGCGCTTGGCGTATCCATTCTGGCGTAGAAATTCGTGCCAAAGACACCGATTGCCTGCTTGCCCATCGCAGATTGGAAAACATTCCTGGCGGGCGGGCACACTCATATCCTCAGACGAATCTGAAGGTCGGCCCACAATTTCTTCGTGCGCGCCTCGGACTCATGTTATGGTCCGGGAATGGGATGATGGATGCCTGAAAGCTGTTGTGCACACGTGACAACAACCCCGTATTACCATGAGTCCTTCGCACTTGGAGGGCAAACATGGTGGGCGTTCAGGGCCGTCGCCCATCCGGGCACTCTGCCTGTCTGTCCGTCCGTCCGTTGGTCTACCTAGCTATGGTGTATACGTGTGCAGATGGGTGACCGTGTGTGTGTGTGTGTGTGTACATGCGGATGTCTATGTCTCTGTACCTGGCTCACATGGCCATGTTTCACTCCTTCGTGTCCTGGTGGTTCAGATTTAGCGACCCATGGAGACAGCACCGGGTCACCGGGAGGATGTGTGTTGCTCCCACCCCGAAGGGCCGATGAGTACTGGCTGCGCATGAGAAGCGCACCCAACACACAAGCGCACTGCAAGGAGATCCGCATGCCGGCGCCGCTTGGAATGCGGTTGTACTTTCGCGGGAAGCCAAGTGTAGGGTTTCAAGGCTCACCCCAAACCACCGGTCTTTGGGTTCGGCGCCCTCCGGTCCTCGAGTCACTGCCCTCTCTTTTCACACTGGCTTCCGTTTACGGCTTGCCCCAGCAAGGTGGGATGCTGGCGGGTGCATTGCCTCTCGCCGTTAGAAATCGCGACGGAGGCTCCGACTCTACTGGTGGATGGTGCAGCCATTGGAGCTCATGCCGAAACCAGAATCTCTCGTCAGGGTCCGGGCGCCATCGATTTGCACTAACGCAGGCACATGCTCATCACTGCTGGGCTTACGACAGGCGGGTTCAAGCGGCGTTTGCGAATCCCTTCAGTTCCTACGCCGAAAAAGTTCGACGGCTCTGTCCCTGCATCCTGCAACATCCTGCAATTTAGGCAGCTGGCACAGATCCCGAAGATCATGGCCGGATGAATCTCTGCGTGGGTGTACGTCCTGTCATACGATGCCGCGTGCGACAGACGACAGATATCAACAGATGAACGGATGCCGTTCGTTGGGAGAGCAAGCACACCGCTAACATGGCGGGCGGACTTACAGTAGGCCCTGGTCTTGACCTTAGCTTGCAACCGTGTTCAAAGCCCGCACATCCTCTGGCATCCAAGCAAGCGCACGAGATCGTGTATGAACATAGCGATCATTGAACACTCCTCCTCTTCGGCATCTAGGTACTCGATGAGCCCCTCACCTGGGTCGGGCCAGGCTCTCAGACGGTAGCCTCGGAGCACCAGCTTCGTACAGCCAAGGCCCCAGCGCATGAGAGTACCCCACTCCCACTCCCCGCTTTTGACCTTGTCGACCTGAGTTGAAGTCGCACACCTTCAGCCGAAGAACCAATAAACAGACAAAATTGGGACTGACCCCAGAAAGTGTGCGCAGTGTAGATGGCTTTCCGCCCAGCCGCATGAGTTCTGTTGATCAAGACTTTTTGTTGCTCGTAATCCACGATGTACAGAGGCCGTGAACACCTGTGCTTGAGATCGGCATCCAAATTCTGCTGCACAGTCACGACACCAACAGTCCACCTTCCACAATCCGAGGAGATGCGGATCTCGTTGTTCTTCAAGTCCTGCTGGATAGACACCTGGCATATGTGCATACTCACATTACTCACTGTGAAAAGAAACATCGAGACATCAAGGAGCAAAACCAGAAATCCAAACCAACTCAGTTCTGCTGCTCAATGGGCTTCGCGCAATGCCTCCGAGTCCACATCTTTTCTGCGTCGCAAGCTCTGAAGTGTGTTCCTGCAGACAAGCTTGAGTATGCAGAACCCGGGTTGTGTTTTCGGGTGTACCGCAGCATCACAGTTTATTGGATGATCGACTTTGCATAGGCGTCCTCAACTCCGCGGGGTTCTTGTGCATGCCCACCCTTGCAATCGTCGCAGCTTCATGCCAACACACATGCCTGCAGTGACACAGCCAGTGATGAGACTGCCCAAACGCAGGTAAGGTGCCATATCCCGTTCAGGAACACCTGCCCGGCGAAGTGACTGCGAGAAGTTTCTGCGAAAAGCCAACACCTAAACATTCTAAGACGGGCCATATTCACGGGAATCATGTAAGTTCGGCTATTTAGCTGCAGGATGTGTTACTTAGCATTGATGGCGCACACGGGCGCATGCCTTCCTGCCACGCCTATCCATCCTAATGCATCCCCATAAAGCTGTCGGCGGTTTTGCTTGTCGAGCTTGGAGCGCTCTAGCCCGTGTGACAGCAGGAACAAGGGGCTGACGAGCGGGGTCGTTCCAAAAGCTGCGTCATGGTTCAAACATCCACAAAGCTGCGACTTTGACAGCGGAACAGCTTGAACGCAGACTCAGAAGGGTCGGTTTCGCGGCATAGCATATGTGAGGACGGTGCCCTGAATCGAAGAGCGCTGTGTCGCACTGGAAATCGTGAGTGTACGACGGAACTGCCGCAGATTCTCCATCTGCATCCATCTGCCAGATGCATCAGTGTGCGTGACCCGGGGAGCTGCTTGTCTTGCGTGGGATCAAGCCAAGGCGTTGCGGCACATTGGGCATTCCATGTTGTGCTGCAGCCAGGCACTTATGCAGCGCCTATGGAAGATGTGGGAGCAAGGCAACTGCCTTACAACATCACTTGACTCAAATTCCATGAGGCAGACGCAACCTCGGCTTCATCAATGCAGCGAGTGCAGAGTTCGCAGAACTCCTCTTGACACCAAACACACCGACACATGACAGTTCGATAATTGTACTAGGGATCTAAAGTGGCTTGCGGCATCGTGCTCACAGTTAGTCCCTATGTACTCCTATTCTAAGCCGCTCAGCCAGGTAGCATGGGGCAGGGTCATCCACCTCCAGCTGCTTCGCCAGGAAGAGACTTCCAAGATCTTTTTTACGATGCTTTTGCACTGCCTGCAACACACACACACACAGACACACAGAGTTCCTGAAACTAGAAATGCCACTTGCTCCCGACGGCATCCTGATTCCGAAGATTTAGCTCAATCAGAAAACTCACAGCCTTGGACGGTCCAGGCAAGCGAAAGAGGCAGCGCTCGTGCCAGAACATCCAGCATGAAATCAACCATACCGCGACAATTAGCGCTGCAGCGAAGCACAATGGAAATACCTCGACAGGAAGGGCATGCTGCATCTCCCAACGCTGCCCATGACCGACGGAGCATGTTGGATTTTAGCGACTGGTTAATTACTTTTCTTCTGAGCCTTCCCAAAACAGAAGCTGGCATGCATGTCTGCGACCCCAGCCGAGATGTTCCTAGCCCGAGCCCAGAATTCATGCTCCTGATAAAACGCGTCAAGCCACGAGAGAGAAAGAGGATGAGGAAGAGAGGAAGCGAGAGAGCGAACGAGGGAGAGAGAGAGAGAGAGAGAAAGAGCGAGCAAAGAGAAAGGGAGAGAGGGAGAGCGAAAGGAATAGGGATGAATCACCTAAGAACCTCGAGCAGCGAGGGACGGGATGTTGGTATTCTAACCCGCGCCGAGAAACTTCCACAAGCACCATGCAGTTGCTGCCCTGCGCACGATTGCACGGCATGGCTACTATGCTCTGCGATCTTCTCCGATGTCTGTTGATCCGGCTAGCCGGCCAGACTGCAGAACATCGGCATACTGTACATGAAACTGACTCACGGCTTGATCCAAATACAGAGATCGCAACAAGGTTGCAGCTCGGCCTTGCCACTCGCGCACTGGTGGCCTTGGAATAGGTCTTGATGTGGTCAGGTGTGCATTCCATCAAGTCGAGGACCTGTGCACACTGTGTTTCTTTGGGTATCGTCCAGGCCAAGCATGCATGGATTTTTCGGAACAGTGCTAAGGCAGATCACCCCCCACTCGTCCAGAAAATCCTCGATAATGGTCTGCGCCTGCAGCCAGACACAAACAACGTCAGGAATTGAAGTCGATTTCCGCAGAGGCACAAGCTGCTGGTGCAGGACTGGGTCACAGGCCGACCCGAGCGTAATCCAGCACCTCAGGCGCATGCATCTGTTGCACACTCAAGTCAGTCTAGAGTACCTCCTGAGGAGGCACAGGATCTGTCAATCAACAGCTTGAGCGAGGCCACAGTCAGTCTGAATACCGGCCGAGTGCCGAACATCAGCGAGATGTTCTTCACCAAGCCTACTGCCTAGTGCCAAAGAATATCGTTTTCAGTGTCACCATGGGATCATGAACCTGCCTGTCCCTCCGGCGTCTCTGCTGGGCACACGAGACCCCAGTGGGTGTTGTGAAGCTGCCTCGTGTGCACACCATGCCGGCATAATCCACAACAATCAATGCAGTGGTGGCACCTGGGCTTGACAAGCTTCCCTGATCGTGCCAATGGCGTGATCATCCGCCTGAAAAGCACGGGCAAGGCATTACAGAGGCCCAAGGTAGGCTTGATGTAGCATGCTGCAAGTCCTCGCCTGAGATGGGAGAGAGTTGCCATGAAGGTCAGACGATTCAATCCCTGAGAAATGCCAGTTCGAACCTTGAATAACAGAGCACTGCAACAAAAAGAAATGGCAACCACGGCAGCAACTTTCTCAGATTTCTGAGAGTGGAACTGGCTTCCCCTGCTTGTCCTTGCAGTCAGCGCAGTCTGAGCTTGCGGCTTCGTGGCGTTCGACCACAGCGCCATGCCCTACCGACATGAGGCAACGAAGCGCGATGTCCTGGCCCCAATTGCCAGTCGCGAACTGGTATTTCATTCCCTGGCTGAGGCAGGAGGCCTGAAGCAGTGGAGACAGCTGCTGCATGTACTTGCGCCCTCGCTGGTCACAAATGATGGTCCAACTTCGCCTGCTTCACACACTCCACTATGTCCGGGATCTTGCCCTTGTCCAGTTGTCTTTGCAGCAGTTTCCTCAGGTCCTGGTTCATGGCTTGAATGAGTTTATGGCTCCCCCTTGCACGGCAAGATGACACAGGCAGACCTTGACACTTTTTCGCCAAAGACCAGTGAAGGAAGCAGACACCTGGAAGACAATCTAGACAAGCACCGTTGTCTCTTTGCCTCCCGTAGCTGGGGCCCGAGCGAGCGCACCCGCCAGGTCAATCCTGAGCAGTGTTTGACTGGTCAAGCTCGGCTACATGCGGGAAATCGTGCACATCAGAACACTGGGATCAACTTTTCTTACGTCCATCCATGGCACCGCTTCTTCCCAAAGTGATCTCGATCATCCTCTGGGTTGCGCCCCAAGAAACCTCGGAAGCCGGCGAATGTCTTCAGAGTTGACCTAGTTGACCTAAACTACAGAAAGCTGCCGAGAGCCCGACCCAGCAAAAGCCGGTTGGTCATGTACCCAATAAAGTAAGCTTTTCGGCCTTCAATGTTGCGCGTCCTGGACTGTGTTTCTCCCATCGAGCTTGGAATTTAAAGACCCGCGTCCATCAGATGGTCTGCGGAGCTCCTGCCAATATGCGGCAGCAGCTCCTTTTGGAGCAGCTCGCGGGCATACCTCAGGTTTACCATGCCTTTGCTAGCACTGGTGTCTGCACATCTCGCGTGCAGCATGCTGCTGTTCTGGATCGCATGCGCTGCGACAGGGCTCCAGCTGGATGCGCACATCCCGCGTAGCGCCCATTGTGGGTCCACGCCTACCCCAGGTCCCACTTCCCAAGTCCAAGCATAGCGAAGTGCCCCCTTGCACAGCGCACTTCGCGATGTAGTCCAGTGCCTAGGAGCGACTCGGCCCTTCGTTTGTCGCTTCGTCTGAGTCTAAGGTCGCAGCCATTTCCTGCGTAGATATTGGAGCCGCATCCTCTCCAGGGACAGGTAAAACGACGCGCTGAGAAAATCTCCGAAGAGCCGCCTCGATAGAGAGCCTGCAAGCATTCAGCATTGCAAAGTCGCTCATGTCGAACCTGGCCAAAGACTCAAGAAGCTCAAAACTGCAAGCTACCGAAGCTAGCAAATCCTGCGCCGGCTCGACACGATGCGCTCTAGAATGTCTCTGTCAGCTACAATGCCCAGAGCACGGAACATGATCACCAGTGGGATCTCTGTTCGGATGTAAGGGCCTGCATGCCAGGCAAACTTGAAAAGGGCACTCTACATCCCGATCACTGAGCGTGGGACAGGTGCAAACTAGTTGGCCCCGGCACATGGATTTGGAACCTGCCAGGGTGATTCAGAGGCATGGAAAGTTGGAGGCGAACTAAGCTGGCCGGGGGTTCCCATGTTGGTGCAGAGCTTCACAGCAAAGCCCGAGTTGCCGGCCTTGGAAGTCACACAGGTAGCCCTACAAGCTGATGCCAGGCTACAATCTGAGGACACCACGGAGCCTTCAAAAAGGGCAGAGCGGATTTCGCAGACCCAAGCCTAGGCTCTGCAAGGCAATGCTGCCAAGCTCGAATTCTGCTGCCGGGCTCCCCGAGGGCCGGGCGTACTTTGAAGGTTGCTTCTTGGCGAAGGCATAGACCTCATGACATCGCGGGATATCGCGGGTAAGATGCGATGCCGCAAGCCACGGGTGTCAAGATCAGTGGAAGAAGGATTCTCCATCTCAAGGGGAACCGGAAAGAAAAGCAGATAAAAGCTTGGAACAACCTTGGCTTCCCCCTCTGAACCCCAGCCTTCTCAGATGCACTACAGGGGCCGGCGCTGATTGCATCCAAATAAAATGAAAACATAATTGCATGTGGCTGAGACCACGGCAAAATTGTTTGCCATTCGCTCCAACGCGATCAACACCTTCTCGGAGCCTGGGTGCTCGTGGCTTGCAGCTGTTCCGCCGCACTCTTCAAAGGCCTTCTGAGCTCCCGGACCATTTATGACGAAGTAACCACCCTGGTCAAGCGGGCCTCCGGGCCAAAGTCCAAAACAGAGCTCAGCCCCTTCAGCGACCGAAAGCATCGATTCCAAGCTCAGCGTCTGGCACTCACCAAACTCGGTAAGTTGACCTCACGAGTTCGCAAGGTTTGGCATCACAAAGCACAGGCACAAGAGCATTCTTGTTGCAGGACAGGGCACGGTCATTGGCATCTTTAAGCCAACAATACTCGGTCCTGAAATGCCCGGCATACACCCAAAAATCATTCAGCTCAATGCCAGTGCTGTCTGTTCCGACCAGTTTTGACTCCACTCACAGTCATTGGAGCCCATCTGCGGCGATGGACCTCACCATGATGGGCATCCTCATGAGGAAGACCTTGGAGTAGTTGTCCTCTTGAGTCAACGTCCTCTCGCCGTCCTGGGCTGTGCGGCTGCTGATTAGCCCTGCTTGTAGCTGATTTGTCTGGGCAAGCCACATCGTTGACTTGGTAGACCTTTCGCTCAATGTCCACGAAGACCGGCGCAGCATAGGACAGGTTTCGCAAGCGCGCCTCTCCGGCTGATCATCATCTAACCTTTCTGTCGCCCGAACTTCCGTTCTGGAAGTGGGCCGGGCCTCTCGCGGTGTGAGCTGCAGTGCTGTGCCATCCACCTCGTCCACGGTGGGCCTGAGACAGTAATGAATTTCCAGTCCCAGCAGCTGTCCCTGAGGGCAAGTTTGTAGCTAAACGCCAGCGTTGAACTCTAGCCTCGCTGTCGAAACACCGAGAGCCGAGCTTGTTGAAGTGCAGTTGCCCGAACTTCCACACATACGTCTGCGGCACATTGCATGCTCTTGTACCACTTCCTCTCTCGCGCTTGCGGCAGCTCAGCACCAGACTTTCCTGCTGTCCTCAGAGAGGCGTGGAGGCTGAAGGCAATCAGCTTTGCATCACTTGAGTCATCACTTGCCCTCGCTTCTAAAGACTAGGATCCTGAATGCCAACACTCGCTTCGAGGAATATTGAGGAATGTGCTTGAGAAGATTCGACAATGCGGCCATTCCACACAGGGACATGCTCTTGAGCTGACATGCGGCGTGTGACTCAGAAAATTGTCTAGGATGGAACTTGCTGCGACTCGGGACCATGTGCTCCGCTCAGGATGAGGTGAGCCAGCACCATGCCCCTTTGTCTTCCAATTACCGACAGCAACTCATCCAAATCCAGGGTACCCTTGAGTCAGGGAATCTGAATCAAAGTCATGCCTAACCCAACATGGAATGCGATTGCGCAGGAATATGTGGATGCTACCAAGCTTCAACCTTCTCCTCCGGGTGATACTGGTCCTGTGGGGTGCACTCGATGGGCGTCTGAGCCTGCGGTGCTGTCGACTGATGACCACATGTCTGGCGGCTATACACCGCCTCGCTGAAACACGATGTCCCTCGAGGCTCCGACATCAACAACCCGCTGCATCTCATAGACGATGAACTGGTCGAATGACCTCTTGCAAGGAACCACTGACTGCAACATATGGGGCATGAAGGCTGAGAGCAGCAGCCACCAGACAAGCAGGGAGAAACTACATGCTTGGGTATGCCGAGTATGCCGAAGTGACAAGGGAAGATTTCTCCATGCCAGCTCGTCAGAACTGCGAGAGCGCACCCCAACTGCTGGAAGACCAGTCCCTTCTCCTGGAAGAAACTGTCGATGATGACCTGGGAAGAGCTGAATTGCGCGGCAGAGGGCATCTCCCGAGCCCGCCCGAGCCCGAGGCCCAGGAGTCTTCCTGATGGATCTGCAGCGTCTCATCGATCTCGGCATCCTGGCCTTGGCCACTCTGGAAATCTTCCTGGGCTACCCCAGAGGGCCATCAGCCGTACGAGGCCTAGCTGTACCGGGGGAGCCAGAGTTCCAATGCTCAACACCCCAGTGCTCAGATGCATGCGGCACACAAGGCCAAGCCGAGCCTTTTCGAGAGATCTGCACACTACTCTAAGTGCCTTCTCAGGTCACTACTTCGCAACACCTCCTCAAACGAGAACATGCTCCAGCCAGTCATTCCGTCGGTATCGTGGTCCCAGATGTTGCGTGAGAAGGCCTAAAATGCTATCACTAGTAGTCTTGGACCCCCTGGGCATGCCAAGCTTCTCTGCTTCGCTGCAAGGCCTGCTTAGCAGGCGCTCGAATTCATCACAGAGTTGAAAGGTCTGACTCGTGCCTGGCAAGTGGAAACCCCATGGGCAGACTTGAGGTGAGGAGGCTGACGAAAGCCAAGCACACAAGCTCGATGCAAAACTCGAATTACCCGAATGCAAGGTACTCATGGTATCCTTAAGAAACCATGGCATCACCTGATCCGGCTCAACTGGCCATTGCGCCGTGCCTTCACAGCACTCGGCCAGGCTAGGAAAGGCTGGGGATAAGTTTGGGACTGTCGAAACGGAATCAAACACTGCAACTTGCCCCTTTCAGCTTGGGTCTCAGAGGCCCGTCTCGGTCCTTACCACCTCGGCTGCAAGCCAAACAGTCTCGGATCAACCTCGGTTCCTTCACTTCTCGAACCAGCTTGCTGCTTCAGTCAAGCCTCCGGTGAGGTCTGACATCGCATGGGTGGAAGAGTTCTTTCACCCTGCCACTGCACACGGTTACACTAATGCTGGCAGCCCGAATCGGGCACAGTAACCACCTCGGCTCTGGCCTCCGAGCCCCATCCAGCCGAGCCCATGGATGCGCTCAGGCAAGACTTTCCGCTGCCTCGAACCAAACGTGCTTCACTGCTTCACTCAAGTCATCCCTTTTGTCAAAGCAAACTACACGGCTTGGGTCGAAGGCTGGCCTTTTCGCCCATTCGTGAGAGACAGAAGGAAGCGAATGGAAGGCCTTTTCCGCGTTCAGAAAGGTCAACACTGGCAAAGTGCCCCTTGCTGTCCCACCAGCTCTGAGCTCCAAGTCGCAGGCCCGACTGATGCCTCGCCGAAGCCAGACAGCGAGCGAGAAAAGTGCGCCTTAGACCTGGAAGCCAAGTTTGGCTTTTGCAGCTTTCTGTGCCACAGCAACAGCAAGAACTGTCATGTTGAGCTCGGACATCTCAGATCCAGGCGATATGGTGGGTGAAGCAAAATTGAACTCTGAAGTGTCCTCAGCACTGCGAAGTCGGCATTCCAAGAACAACTTCCATCCGAACGCTAGTAACTATTGAATTGTGTTCTCTGTTGCACAGCAACTCGGACTGCCCAGGCGCAATCGTGGTTGTGCCACTACGCTTGGCTGGACCTCGGCTTGCAGATGGACGTTTACATGATGAGAAACAATTCCAAACGGGTGTCGGCCTGTAAGCTTCTATACCTACATCCCTGCATTGTTTGCTGCAAGACTCCGATTGGACGAAGTATTGATAACAGAACTCTGTGAAGGCCAAGGCACCTACTGCTGCTGCTACTGCTACTGCTACTACTACTACTACTACTACTACTACCACTACTGCTACTACTTCTTCTTCTACGACTACCACTACCATTACCACCACTATGGCAACTACTAGTACCACTAAAAGAAACACGACCACTACCACTACCCTGCCATTACGGCTACGGCTACCGCTACCGCTAC